AATTGTCTATGAAATTTGGAAACGATAACCTATTTAAAAAATGCACTAAAATGTAGACAGGTTACCGATTTGCAGTAATTAAAAATGAGTTTAATAAGAAGGTCCTCTTAATTTTTCTTCTACTTTTCGGAGATCGAGGCTCACAATCTGTCCTATCAAGCTCTTCAAAACTGCTTTGCAATATTTTTTTCCTTTTTTTTCTTTTAAATAGCACTAAATATACAGCATTGCCGTAGAAGAATCGTTGACTGGATTCACCCTTAGCATTGTATTCAAAAGCCAACATTCCATTTCTTAAGATGAGGCGTAAAGAAAAAAGACTGAAATTGTTATATGTGATTAATAATGTTTCATTGGAGATAGATAAAACAGCTTACTTAGTTCGTGAGGAGTCGAGAATAGCTTGAAACAAACACAGTCGCGCACTTCATCAGCCCCGGTTCTTCAAGGATTGTTTTAGGTACTCATTCTTTCCACAAACCATAAGTGACTGGAATCTTCTTTCGGAGCAAGCTGGGGTATGCCAATCACTTGAAGTTTTTTTTCTTATTTAGCATCTTGCAAAATGTGTAATAAAATGTTGCTTTATTTGTATTGTTTTCCGCCAACGCATTATACCCCCTTGACGGATCTAATTTTTATCTTTCATTGTCAAAGCATTTTTTGTGATTATTTGGGGACATATTTTATTGTACCTTTTCAAGCGTGTGCTGCCCTTGTTGTTGTTGTTCTCTTTGTACATTCGTATACCCCAACTATCATGTCTCAATAGAGACTGATAGGATTTTCGAATAAATAAATAAATGAATCGGGAGTTGAGAAAGATAAGATGTTGGGATGTTGGGGAAGGAGGGGGGGGGGGGTGAAAGGTTGGCAATGTCAAACAAGGGCAAGAAATTAGGCGAAAAATGCAGGAAGTCCGAGAACAGAAAGCACTGTGACAAGAGTTCATGAAACATTTAATTTATACGAAAGATTAATGGTGAGTGTGAAGCACAAGTCAACAATTTAAATACAGATTTCTCGGATCAGTGAATTTTGGCGCCTATACCCTTCGTAGGGAGGCTGGGCTGCTGACGACCAGGTTTAAATTGCGATAAGAAAGAACACATGTTTAAAGTGGTACAATTGAAATGAGTTTATTGAATCAAGATCTTGTGCCCACGCTCGGCGCTTGTCGCGTGCATTCTTTCTGCCGGACACTGACCTCACTCGCTCACGGCGCTCTCATGGCACTGCGAGGAGAACTTTTTTTTTTTCCTGTTTTGCGAGCAGCGATTACTGTTCATTTCTTTTCAGTCTCCTATTGCTGGTTTTCGCAGCAATAGGAGACTTTATTTTCAAAGATATATATTTTCGGTGTCTACCGTTCTTGCTACAAACAGCTGTGATTGCGAAGTGACGGACCCCGCACACTGTTATAAGTGACAGGACTGAATTCCACGCACAACAGAAACAGAGTCCCACTCCTTTGCTTTCATGTCTCTGAGCGCCTTGACGTCAGCTTTCGGGAGGTGGATTAGTTTCATGTTTGGCAGTTGGAGGTTGTGCAACGTTGCCTTGTGCTTTGCAGGACTCACGATTCAATGGCAGGCAGTCTTGCCATGTCCAGTCGCGGAAAAAATACACTTCGCTAACGTGTACTTGTTGCTCTGCAGCTTGTATAGTTGGTACTCGTTCTTAAAGTGCCTTGCTGCACCATTACTGACGTACGTCACATGAGCATACCCAAATTGGATTTCACGATTATTCATGCCGTTGTCATACAAGGTATGTTACAGGCAACCTCATTCAATCGCAGTTCTCTTTTTTTTTAAATTTTTTTCAGCATCTTTATTTATTTGTTTTGGCGTTGTGCGGCCCTCCACGGCGGCGGATTTATTGGCACCCACAGGTGGCGCAGGTTCAGGTTCTGCCGCGTCCTGCCTCCTATGTTATATTACGGCCAAGGTTGTAGGCTGATCGGTTTGCAAAGTCGCTCCTTTACGTCGCGTAGATGGAGACGCTGCACGCCGGCTGTTGAAACAGGCACCGCGAAGCATGTTATAAAGTGGCGCCTTTCGATTGCTCCGGCCCATGGGCATTTTTAAGTCGGTTGTACGTATTAGGAATTTTTCTTAAAAACTACTGTACACCCTAGCGCTGTCAATTAGTCTTTTCCTTACTACCCCGTAGCACTTTTACGCTTTTTAACAATAATGAAATTGTGAAGAATGGGTAGGAACTTGCCCCATTGTAGCCCTTCCATCGTAAACCGGAGAGAAGAGAAAATTAAAAAAAAAACGCACAAAACAACAACAAGTTTCAATAATTCTCCGGTTTCTCCGGTGTTTCCGGTTTACGGTGGAAGTTCTTCACCAGCTCGCTTGTGCTTTTACCCTTTCTCCATTATAGCAACCGCGTTAGGGCCAATTTGGCCATATTTCTCGCTTTATAACTTCAAAGCCACACAAGTATTGCAATACGTTCTTGCAGATTCAATTAGTGCATATTACAAACGCTAATTTCGCAGAATCTAAAAAAATGATTGAGGCGTGCCAATTTTAAAATAATTTTCAAAATAATGCACATTTAGTTAAATTCTCATGTGTAAGTAATTCTGGTAAAATTTGCCCGCTAACCGGGAGAACAATATTTTATGCAAAAATGAACAATATACAGGGCAACACACTTGCATATTTTGAAGAGCTTAGCTTTTATAGATACGGAGAAAAAATATTTAATCCTGAAGGTTTGCTCGCAATATGCCGTGTTTGCGATTAGGTTTCTCAAAATAACGACCCTAATACTCGGTGGTTAATACTTTTTGTCAGTCATTCTTATGCCTAATTTGTCAGTAAATATTTCTAGACCTGCAGCCAGGACAGTTTGTTTGGGGAAGCCGCCCGAAATGCCAGCATCGCGTGATACGCAAAACGCGCACGTGACTGATAGGGTGCTTGCATATTGTTTTCGCAAACACAATTTTTCTTCTTCAAAACATTGATTGGTTTTATTATTCTGGGCATAGAACCAGCGCGGCATATTTTTAATCAAAATTAAAAATGGTCACCGGACATGGTTGTTCGATCTTCTCTGAAAACGCTCTGCAATGACTTTCCAGTAGTAGCTTCAAGTGCCTGATGGCGAAATATAAGTGACAAGTGCGAAATGGCGAACCTAACTAAGTATCACGATGAAAATGAGTATCGTATTAGCAATATGCACTCGTTTATACAGGCGTTATACAGGACATTAAACTTCAATAAATGCCATGGCCATTTTTTTAGAGCGCAGCTCTTAGGCGCCCATTTCCGGCTTGAGCGGCGTCGCCGTCGGCGTAACCGTGAGGTTACGCCAACGGCGACGTGAGCCCCAAGTTCACGTGACCCACAAAGGTCACGTGACCACAGAGGTCACGTGAACCTCCCTCAAGGTCATGTGGCCCCCAGAGGTCACGTGACCCCCCAAGGTTACGTGGCCCCCAGAGGTCACGTGACTCCCAGAGGTCACGTGATCCCCCAAGGTCACGTGACTCCCCAAGTCACGTGACCCCCTCCCCCCCCCCCGTGGTCAGGTGACACCCCCGGAGAATATTCAAGAATAGGGGAGGAGGAGAAGGAGGAGGAGGGGTCTACCCTCCCCTCAGTACCCTTCCCTCCTCCTCCTCAATAGCTGCGCTCTAATTCGGCGTTACAGCGAGTTGTAAACGGCTTTCACTTTTGTAATATATGATCAGCCTTTCTTGGGAGCTTGCTTCGGATAAATTGATTTTGATTATAATCATGTGCGAAAACATTTTTTTTCTGACACCATTCAAGTTACAGTTCATCGTTCATCAGGTGCATTTTATTAAAACCCAGAATAAAAAAAAAATTTAGCGTATTTAAGTTCTGAAGCTAAGCTGGTGACTCGGGTTGCAACAAAAAAAAAAAGGGGCGAAATAGATCAATTAGATTATAAAAAGAGTTATAAAATAAGGTGGATTGGTGGATAATGAATAAGGTGGATAATGAATTTGGAGAATCGACACTTGATCACTTGCCGTGACGTGAAATATGAAAAAAAGGAGGCTGCTTTTCTGAAGTGCTTCGCTTGAAAACTACGTCGAATTACAATAGCACTTCAAAGTTTTGTTCTATGGAGGCCATAATCCGCTGATTGATTGTGGCGAATCCTACTTCGTTTTACTAAGTATCGAATGCCAGTACATGTTCAATCAATGAACCGCTTTCTTAAAGGACGTACGTATTCTATGATGGTCTGAACCACTTCACAATATCCCACCTATGCGAATTTCTTTTATCTGGGTATTAACTGGTAACGGGAAAACTGTTACTCACAATCTGAGTTGCAGTTGGTCCCCGCGCAGCTGGGAATGTGGTAAATAGACCAGTTGAATTGGGGCGAGTCGGCTCCCAGTTCCAGTTGATCCCAACTACAGCTAGTCCTAGGAGCAGTTACAAGAACACACAACACGGAACGGAAGGTGTTGCTAATCTAATCAAAAACGATTTATTAAAAAAAAAATAAAAGTTGCTTACAACTCCCTGTAACGCCGAATTGGAGCGCAGCTCTTGAGGAGGAGGCGGGAAGGGTGCTGAGGGGAGCGTATACCCCTCCTCCTTCCGCCTCGTCTCTTGATCCTGCCTGCTACTCCGAGCGGCGTCGGCGTCGCCATCGCCGTCGGCGCAGCAGTGAGGTCACGCGCCCCTCGTGACCTCACGGGGGGTACGGGACGTCACCGGGGTTACGTGACCTCACCGGGGTCACGTGAGCTCACGGGGTGACGTGACGTCACTGGGGTCACGTGACGTCAAAGGGGTCACGTGACTTCATGGATACGCCGACGCCTACGCCTACGCCGACGCCGCTCAAGCCATAAAAAGGCGCCTTGGAGCTGCGCTATAAAATCAGTAGCACATTCGTGCGAATAGTTGTGACAACACACTATGTTGGACGTCTGCGTCCGCGCCTGTTCCCTCCTGTCTTCGCGTTGGTAATAACCCTCTCCTCGACAGCACGAGTCTGCGACAAACCCGAGCAATGTACGGTCCTACCTGACACCGACCGGCCTCCCAACTGATACACACAACAATGTTTTTGTAATGATTTTTTACAAATAAAAAAAAAGAATGAACTTACGTTTCTTTGTGGCGTGATGTGGTTCATTATTGACTTTCATTCGCCTCAAGAAGTCTTTAAAAATATATATATATAACTTTATTTACTTATATTAACGCTTTATTACTTACGTAACTTTTTTTCTAAATTTTTTTAATCCATATTTTGTAATTATCTATATTCTTATTTCATGCGAGAAATTTGTTTTATCTCATAGTTTTTTTTTAATCATGACTCAAATGGGTATGGTAAGATGACTTGAACCATGAGAGGAATTCCACACAATTAAATGGTCGTTGATTCTCAATTGTTACCCAACTGGTAAATGTGGGTCATGCCCGTTTGGAAATGGCTATAACCAGAAAATCCTCAACTGGTCTTAGTTGGCCCACCAGATGGTTTCTTTTGACCCCAGTTGGCCTCTATCAAATTCTTTTAAGGATGAGTTGATTCCCAGTTAAATGTAGTTGATTTTAATTCGAATGTTTCACCTGGGAAACAACTCACACTGCATAAAGCAAAAGTATATTAAGACATAAGAGGGTCAAAGAGAAAACAAATCTAATTATGGGATATTCGGCAATTCATTTGCAACTCTATCATTCACTTGCTGCCGTCCACTTACATCACACCGTCTTCTCATTCGTCTTCAAACTGTGTTGCTAAAGTTGGTTGCTAAAGTATGGTTGCTAAAGTATGCAACATACCTCAGCACACTCACTCTGTTCAAATATGTGGAAAAGCACAGTCAAACGTCGTACCGTGCCACGCATTTAGTTGCATCACCCACTTGCTCAAGTTAGAATTCTGCGCACATAAATCCACCAAACACTCGTTCGCACCACCTCTGATGTTGATCTTATAGGCACCCATAAAGATCATGCTCATGTTTACCCTTCGCAGTGTAGTCATGTAAGAGAATGGTTCCTTTGATACACTTAGAGCATCTCCAAAATCAAATCTTTTAAAATGCATTGAACTCGTTCTGAGTCATCGGCATAGACACGCAGACTATTGTAACTAGCACGGACACAACCATCGCCTTTCTATGATTCACACAGATAAAATCGATGTCACGGAAACCGACTTTCGCATGTTTCATATGAAGCGCAGAGTGGCCTTTTTAATAAGCACTGAAACCTGGCGACGGTTCCAGACGTATACAGCAGCTCCAGCGGTTCGATGATGCCCGCGTTTCCGATGTGTCATACACAGGAACTCATCCATCTCAAGTGGGTGTGCAAAACCACGTTCCGCGTTGTTCATTCACATGCGCCTTGGTGAGCACCTCATCGGTAAACACGTCATTTCCGTGAAACTTCAGACCTTGAACATTGAGTGCTGCAAAAAAAATGTTCCGCTCAGCGTCTGCTTCATTCAGAAAAGCACCCGCTTTCTTCATGAGCGCATAAAGTCGGTGTTTCTTGAGTATCCGACACTTTTTTCACACTTGTTTCAATCATCGGAATCTCTATTGTGGAAGGAGGTTAAGCAGTCAGTAAGCTCGTTAACAACAGTGCGTCGATGCACCTGGTTCTTGACGGCGTAACATGCGCAAGCCGTGGGAAATAGGACATCTCGTAGGAGTAGACAGCTTCGCTCTATGTAGCCCCTGCGACCTGTGAATTATGATGGGACCTAAAAGGACCACGAGAAGGCGATTTTGCCTGCACGAAACCTTCATACGTTTTTCGGGCATCGCCGTCACAGATATGCGGCTGGCGGGCACCCACTTCTTATCTCAACGAACGTGGCTCTGACTGCCTGAGGTTTCAGCTTCGCAATTTTATTCGATCACAATAGACTCGAACCTGAACCGGAAGCTTTGAATTTTTCCGTCAGGAAGTCGTTTACTCCACCGCCTCCTGATATTGTAATATTATCGCCCCGTAGAGGGCAAACTACGTATTTTCAATGCTATCGTATTTAAGATCAGTACCTGCACCCGCTCCTCTATTTATGTGTCTGCGTCGCAGGTGACGCGAGAAGTACGACGGAAGTGTAGAGTGTAGAGCCGACGCCACGGGCGCCCTTTGCCTTTTAGTTTCGGATTGAAGCCTTGCACAGGGGCAACACTTAGAAAATTTTTAATGATAATTTGGGATCGCGACCTGGCTTTATTAAGTCTTCAAGTACACTATGCCCCAAATATTTTAATTGAAAAAAGTGAATGAAAAGTTTTAGTTAAATATTCATATAATTAACCGATTCGCCTCCTTTCTAGAGGCGCCTATAGTTCTTAACTTTGCTGGTGGGCGAAAAAAAATTAAAAATAAACACACTAACGCTACTATACTGGTTTTTTTAATACTGGTTTTACCAGAGCATTCTGTATATAATAATTAATTCTCTACTTTTTCCTTCATCAGCAAAATGTATGCTAGGGCAACTCTTTAACCGTTCGTCTGAAGCATCACTTTATGCGTAAGACACAATTATGAGCAGTGCCACGGCCGCAGGCATTGGCCAAGAGATCGAGCTCGAATATCCCACTGCTCTGCTCAGCTATGACGCAGAACTGCTGGCAAGCTAGTTAGGCGCCTTCTGTTCACTGCACTAGGGCTACAGGCGCCTTGAGGATGTCCTTGCAGCCAAAGAAGTGCCATGACACTTACCGCAGTAATTATCGCATAGCGAAATTAGGTGTTTCGCCTCATCAAATGTTCATTGTTCACGGTGAAAGTGCTCCACGTCCAAGATTGAACTCAAGTCGGCCAAGCAACAAATGACCAATCGACCCAGTTTGTTAGCGTTCAGCTTTAAATCACCTGCGTGATGCACAAATTCGAAGTCCCGCCTTAGATATATCTAGTGCCACCTCTTGAAAGCCACGGGGGTGTGAGGTTTGGGTTCACGCAGGGTATCAGCCATTTCAGATATGTACACTCGACCACAGCATTACACCGTCTTCCGAAGAGGTCGCAGCAAATATGGCGCATTTCTCACATGACAGCCGTACATTTATGCTCTAGTGCATCAAGCGAGGCTTTCTTTCAGTTAGGTGATGACCCTCACATTGGCTCGTGGGAAGTCGTCTACATAAGAACCCTGGCTTTAACACACCACTTAAGTCAAAACATATCGCGTCTAGCTATCGTGACAATTACTTTGGAACCCTTTGGAACTTGGGATTTCCGTACATGATGAGGGCCTCTGTCATGGCATCATATCAAGAACTGGTTTCTAAAGTAAAATTAGTGGTGATTTTTTTAATATTTTTATGCTTTAGTGGATAGCTTTTGTTTAAACCCGAAAGAAAAACTGGCCGACTTTTCTTGAGTATGTACAAAGGAATACAGTGGTGTCAAACGCATATCTTCGAACTTGTTTGTATTAATAATATGTGAAGTTGATGACAGCAGAATATTTTATGTAATAAAGATGGACCGGTAGCCATCGTACCTTTTGATAACACATTATAAAAATCTATTCTGACTGCACAAGAGTGGCAATAATGCCTGTGAAATAGCATACCCTTTTCAATCGTGAATTAATTTCGTTAATTAATGCTACCACAAATACACATTTTTTGCGTTAAAGGAAACACCACGCTGGTCGGAGAGATATAAAGAGTAATATTATGTACGAAATATTTTGTAGTCACTTGGTTAAGAGTTCGTAATTGTCATTTTAGTACGTTCATCATAAAGCAATTTTCAATTCGAACTACGTTCTTCTAAACTCTTTTTGTACATTATAAATACGCACTTTTTTGTAACAATGAGATTTATGATGAAAATGCGATTATTGCAAAGGTGGAAGCAAGTTGGACAAGAATGACAAAATAATCCATGGAAAAGGGGAACATAGGGCACAAGAGACAAACACAAATCTTCAAACACGATCAAAATATTAAAGTGGCCTATGGTCCGCTGTAACTCAAAAAAGGTAGGACGAGGGAAAGGAGGGCTGTAGAAGAGGAAGCCGACGGAACGCTACAGAGAGGAACAGGTTTCTCTTTCTCTTCTCCAGCGTTTCGTCTGCTTTCTTCTCCCCGGCCTTTCTTTCCCTTGCCCTACCTTCTTGCATTGCAACGGAATATAGTTGGATATGCCTTCGCGCTATTTTTATGAAAGCGCGATCATTGCGCTATTTGTCTCCAAACATACCTCGGTGACTGATGCGCGAATGGAAAAAACCACCTGGTATAGGTGTCGAAGCAGAGGTCTCTCCATTTCCAGTCGAGCGCTCTACCAACTGGGCTAACCAAGAATCAGACGTCAGTAGGGAAAACAGATTTTATCAGCTGCCACTTGTATAACACCAACAGGGGTGAACATCCTCCATTTTAAGGTTATGGCGATAATGTAGTTAATGAAAATGTGCAAGCGAGCTGTACAAGACTGACGAAAATATTCCCTGGAGGAGGGGAACAAGGGGCACGAAAGACAAACACGAATCACCAAAACACTGTTAGCTGACTGGAGCGCCACCGAAACCAGGACAAGGCGGATTTTTTTGGCAAGGCATGAGTCACCTGAGTGTTTGGAGATTTGTGTTTGTCTTTTGTTTCCCTTCTCCAAGAATTATTTATGTCAATGAGATTTACATTTTTCTGTGCTCAATTAACTAAAAATATATTCGTACATTTAAGTTCAGAAGAAAATATTATCTTTGCAGTGTTTTTTTTTTTTTGCACGATAAGAACTTTTTTAAATTTACTTCTACCATTTTGTTGCGTAGTAAAACTCCAGCAAATATTTTTTGCGTGAAGTCGGACATTGAGGGACAATAAAATAAAACTTCTAGACACACTGAATATTTTTTATTGATGCACCAAATTAATATTGCGGATGACTAGGTGCAGAAGTGTTACTCGGCATGCAGATGTGTTTATTTAATATTCTAAATAAGGAGATTTATGAGTGCTAAAAGCGAAAGGCTACTCTAGCTTCGTACATATGATAATATTTAACAACGTTCTTTGTGGCTTCATTTACGACGGACGTATAAATTCCTGTGATCATATTTCGAAATTTCAAAATGAAAGCTTGCTCAGATGATGTTGTAGTGATGACAATTGTTTAGTGCAAGATCTCAGTGACGATTATGCGTGGTGCTAATGGTCAGATGCTGGCGCATTCGTGTGGTGAGGTCAGACGAAATCTTGCATCACTCTCCTCCATTCGACCGCCTGAAGAAGAAAGTGGGTTAAAATAAACGCAACTGCCAATTTATTTTGTGTAATGTAACAATAGTTCGGACTCACATTTTGCAGTTTTTGGTCAGTATTTGATTCTTTTTCTTCAACCTGTCCGAACAAAAGTGATAATAGGCGGTTTGGAGCAAAACTCCAGGAAATAAATAATTTCGCAATTTTTATAGTACTCGATGTTAAAAAAAAAACTAAAAAAAACATTCGTGATAATTAAACTCAGGTCACTTCAGGACAAAGCATAACAATCTTGTCGCGCGAAAAAAAAATTACATAGGAAGTTAGCAATAATATTTACTAATGCTAAAAAAAACATGCCTCCGTGAAACCCAATCCAGTTTGCTTTGGGCTCACTCTGTGAATAAATTAACAATAAAGCTGTTGAATAAAAACATACAAATAATATGAGATGTGCCGAACTGCAATGGGTTGTACATGGTAGATAATATGCAACAATATGCCGTATTGTTTTCTCACAGATCGTAGAAACAAAAGACAAAACAAAAAAAAAACACCAGGTTATTCTGAATATAGTTTACTTTCGTGCATATGCCTCTTCAGAGTTCTAACAAAGTCTGTTCAAGCTTTTGGATGCTTTCTTAATAAATAGTAAAAAAAAGAAGGGGGGAGGGCGACAATTCGCAATTTACTTTTTTGTCATGTTTCGCGGATTTCAGTTTCTGGTAAGCGTCAACTTCTTGCTGAAATGAATATTTGAAAGACATATTCGTGTGCATCTTTTTCTTGTACCTTAAACCTCGGAAACTGTACTTATGCTGACGCGGGCACGTAGCAAGGATTTTGTTCCGGGGGGAGGGGGGGGGGGGGCGCCCATGACAAAAGACTGTATGAGGGGGAGGGGGAGAGGAGGTCCCAGCAAAAATGAAGATTTCCGGGGGGGCCCAGGCCACGTGCCCCCCCCCCCCCCCCTTTGTCTACGTGCCTGCGCTGACGGGTGAGCAGGCCACCAACACACCTGGTATTGCATAAGTTAGCTATGGTGCAATAATGACCGCAATAAATTAACATATATGAATTTTTTGTTTTATAAAAAAATGCACAGAGAAGAGCCAATATACTCTGTATTGCCTTATGACTATTCGAATATATTTACCTTGCAAACTTAGAACATTACGACATTGCTGCTAGAATAGTTTAATTGTTGACCGCACCTCTACTAGAAACAGTGGCAGAGTAATAATAGCCGGTGACATTCACTACACAAGCATCATAGATACAGTACGTTTTGAGCTTGGATGGGAAGTAACTGAAATATTTGTTTTACGTAGAGATGTTTGCATTTTAGTTCTCAAATGAACTTCGAACGGGTGTTGGACACCAGCTGAGACCAGACGGGGGTGTGAACAGCAGCGTATTTATAATTGATATCAACTATAATTAGTGGCATGGGATTACAGTGCCCTAATGTTTATTGTAAAGAATGTAAAACAAAATTGTGAATAAAGTGAAATAGACGTTGCTCTAAAATCCCCGTTGCATATTGCGAACGCGGCTGAGCAAGGCGCCTTACCTCAAAATTATGCTTCCTGTCAAAACCAAGCAGATCAGAAGAAGTGCCGACAGCACCACTCCAATGATTACAGTGTTCAATGTGGCAGCTACAAAAATCATGAGTGAAATGCAATAAGCCAGTTTTGTGCTAAAGTATAATAGATACTTTTTAAATTCGTTTTTTAATTAAAAGGACAAAAAATTTGAAAGTACATGTAGCAAACATTAGAGTTTACATAACCGCCGATTACTATCTGCATAACTAATGAAGGCGGTTAAATTCCTCACACTTTCGTGAAATGTCTCATGTTTAAATATATTGATTTTGTCTAGAATCATTCAAAATCTGTGGATTTTACATCCTCAACACTGAAATCCTTATATCATTGTACTGCAGTAATGGACGTTGATACCTAATATTAATTATAAATTGAAACTGCACAAAAAATTCCGAATGCCTGAGCACGAAGTGCAAGTTCAGGGCAATGATTTATACATTAATAAGTTAGCCCCCAAAAACCAAAAAAAAAAAAAAGAAAAAGGAAACGAGCCGATAACAACAGTCTAATTGAATGTTCGATTAAAATTAGGGCTAAATCCAATGTTTCATTGGGATTTATAGGTAGAATTGCTGAAAGTTTATGCTTTCAAGGATTAAAACTTACACCAAACTTCCTTGTTTTCTTCCTCGCATAGTGGTCCCTTAAATGTTGGTGGACACCTAAAAATGAAATTGCAAAAAAAAAAAAAAACACCAGCGTCACTTTAATCAACGAAATGATGTCTATTTCTGACTCTAATATTTTATTAGCCTATGGCTTCAAGGGTAGTATGCAGAAGTGTAATTTACAATATCTCGAAGGAAAAAAATACTCCGCTATCATAAAGATTACGCTAGTTCGAACTTTATTGTTCAAAGATCCTGCCAAGCGTATTAACACATATCGTGATTAATTTGAGCTCTTCACACTGGCCTTATTTGCAGCTATATCCAAATAAAATATCTTACCCAAAATAGTTTATGTGAAGAAATCGGTTCGGAACATTGAAGGAAAACTGTCTATTTAGTGGATAGTTATATCAATTCAACCGAAATATTTAGATCATAAACCCACACCGGATAAATTTATCCTAAATTCATGCGCTATAGGCATATCGTAAACTCATACTGTATAGTTATATTATAAACTAATCTATTACAGTTATATCATAACCGCGTGCCGCATAGTCACTTATTTGCAAAGTTTTTAATTTTAATTTGATTTTATCTCGAAACAAATGGGCTGTCAGTTGGGCGAGTGCCGTCTTCACCACTCAACCACTCATTTATCAGGCTCAGTGGGAATTATATGAATCGATAATAGTCATGCTAAGTTGACTAATTAGCTGCAATTTGTAAATTAGCTGTTAATTTTCGGTTTTTAAGGCAAGGTTGGAATTGCTGTTTTGACGACAATTACCATGAGAGACCTGAGCAATTTAAATAATTTCTTCAAATGTTGTGTTTCGTATGATAGTATTGCATTAATGTTCGATTTTTGTTTTCCTCAATCAAAAATTGCAAGCCTAAAAAACGCAGAAATTCGAGCCTACAATGACGCTTGGAAGAGTGACGTTGTGGTTTCGGTCACGTCGTCACTTGTGTCGTCGGCGCACCCTGCAAGGACCGCCTTGGAGGTAGTGACGGCGTAAATGTAACAACGACATCACTCATCCAAGCGTCATTAGGAAGTTTTAAAATCGCGTATACAATTTTAGCCCACGGCGACGCTTGCGTTAGAGCTCACAGAGCAGGAGAGTTTTAGAATAGCGTTGCTCCGTTACGACGCCAAAAACCCGAGCATCTCGCCTCTCGCGTTTGTAAAGCCACCAAGATAGATTAACCATTTTTATTTTAACCACGAAATTCTATGACCCGTCGTCTCCGATTGCGTTGACTTAGGGAGAGGTGTTGTGTGCTGAACTTCCCACACCGTCCCTTGGACGAGATACGTGCTCACGTCGCAAGCAGCAAGTTGCTTGCGATCGCTGCCCACCCTTTTCTGGATCTTCCAACTGTTTTTAACGCGATCCACCAGTAGGGCTGCAATATCGTACTGTACTGACAACCACAGCCGTAGGGATTCCGCCGACGTTTCGCACGCGGCAACCGCCAAGGCGGTCGCTGCCGCTGTCCTGGGAGCCTCCATTTTTAAATTCTGCTCGTCTTGGCTTCAGCCAAAACTTCTCGCGTATCGCAAATGCTTCTTGGAGGAGCGCAACGATTCTGCGTACGCACGCAATTTTGACAAATAGCATGCGCTAAAATAGCGCACGCAAAACGCAACACGAGGTTAGCGTACGAGGCATGCGCACTGGCGACGACGCTAATCTTTGAGGACGCAACGCACTAACGTACGCTATTCTAAAAGTTCCTATCGTGTGCAGGGATTTCGGCGCTCTTTTGAGTGCTATTTTTACTAGCGCGAAAAGAGGAGAACTTTGGTTTATATTAATTACTGAAAAACAATTATATTTAAGCAAACTTTAAAATTACTTTGGCTTCTAATACACGTCCCGTCAATATTGCAATAAAATCATGACCCATAAAAGCAATAACTAGAAAGTCCACCAACAGATTTTGGTTAATTTGTCAACTTGAGGTGATGATTATTCCCTCATGTAATGTCCGCCGAGCCTCACAAATATATAGTGAAAAAAGTCCTCGTCCAGCGTTTCTTACCCTCTATGAAAAAAAAAAAAAAAACTTATCAAATTAAAAGCAGAGACACTAGATGTGCCGGATATTTATGCTAAATATCATCACTGCAGATATCAAAGATCAGAAAACATCGTTTCAAAATATATATTAAATTAGTATCCTTACATCAATATGAATATTCCAAATATGAGCTTGATTTGCAATCCTTCCTTAAGATATATTACTATTTCAAACGGTTTGCTTCGACTGGCGAAATATTAATTTTCTTGCATCAAAAAACCTCGCTATGAACAAACCGAAGAGTTTAATTTTTGAGCAAAAAATAAATTCAAACAAGATATTGAAATTTTAATTGTTGCATTAATTGGTGTCTTCCTTTTGACTTGTTTTTGATACATTTCTTTGATGATAACTTAAGAATTTCTAATAAAATAAAAGTATATTTGAGGACACTGTTTTTTTTTAATACTGCGCAACATTCCAATAAATATCCCAACCAGTATTAGGTCTACAATTTAATCTGGCTAATGTTATATTCAGGTTATGTGGGTCATTAACATAGAAAGATGGCAAATAATACCTTATATTTCTCGATCAAAAAGAAAGCAAGGTCAGATGTGGTACGTATAGACAGCATGGTTGTAAAATTATTTGTAAATTTAAAATTTCAACGATAATAAGATGTGACCTCTGTGATACTGTATTACTCCGATTTTATACTCTGGCTTTGTTTTCCTATTCAATGGTAACAGCATGTTGCGACAAATACCAAAATCCCGTCCTAGATGCTACGATCGAGGCATTTAAAGGTCACAATTTATATACTATTACTCGAAACCGGAAAGTTTGTTCTCTCCATGAATTCCTTCCAATTTCTATGGGAAGCTGTTGAGTTAAACAAAAATGTAAGTGGTGGTTTTGAATACTTAGACAAAACAGAATAATGATAAACAATTTATTGATGTCCACTCCTTCTGATGAAAGTTTATAAAAGGGAAGTTTTGTTTTAAGCGTTTTAGTTATTGTAAAACTGATATTTAAATATGTAACTTCAAATTTAGCAAGATGTTGAAATGTTCTTGTTTTTTTTTTAGTGAAAAAGTTGCTAGCACACAAGAGTAGTATTTAAAATGAGTAATTTAATTACTGAGCTTTAATTACTTTTTTAAGTAAATTGCAATTGTAATCCATTACTCTTGACAAAGAATAATTATATTTGTTATTTAATTACTGTTTGCCTGGGTCTTTGGAAAATATTGACGACAATTGAAACTACTTTTCATTTTTCCGCTAGAAATAGTGACAAAAGAAAATAGAGTTAGCATCTGCCTCATTGCCGTTCTGCCAACACAAAGGTCTGTGAAACGCCAAAGCTGTGCCAGGGCACCGACCGTGAGCGCACACCTTAGCTAAGGGAGTTGGATCCTGGGAAAGTATCGTCATTGCATTCTCTCCATTCTAGTCGAACACAAACATATACTAACATACAGACGACTAAGAACCAGGGAAGGCAATTGGCTGGTCTGTCTTCTTTGCCATAGCAATCGCCATTTTGGTTCCTTAAAATCTTTAAAGCTTCTACAGGATCGTTATATACCAATGCGCCACAATCGCCATAGAGCGTAGCTGTACTGAAAGCGTTCGTTGTCAACTGAAGCTTTTTGGCTCTCTGTATGACATCAACTTATCAATTGTGCTTATCCCCACGGATCTCTCGCAATTAGTTTAGTAAGGTACGTTGTTGGGCTAGTTGGTTCATCTTAGTAAAACATATAAAATAGCGCAACAGGAACAAGGACAAGAAGTAAACAGGAGATGCGGATACTAGGAAGAAGCCGAGAGACGGTCGCTCGAGAGCTATTGGAAGCTTTCTTTATCAAAAAAAGTGGGACGGCATGTGTCAGCGACACTTCTATTGTTCTTTATTGTAATGAATATCAGTTTTTGAATGATCGGGTGAAAAATTAATCAACTTTTACGTGGAGCTGCTTTGCCTGTCGTGTGTATATATGTGTTCGATTTTCCAGAATAAAACTAGTTGAAAGTTAGCGCCTGTCCTGTTTACTTCTTGTCCTTGTTCCTGTTGCGCTATTTTATATGTTTTACTCTCGCAATTATTTTTGTTGCGCACTTAGAAATAGGGAGATAATTTTTTCAATGCCGCCAAGCAGCGACATCGCATATGGTAGCGGTTGCGAAGATGTGCGCTTGTTTCGCCAGTGTGTTGATAACAAAATCTCCCTATACAAGACACTTCTTTATAAAGCAATTTGCCACCGGGAATTGAAATTCAGTCACAAAAAATGCAAAGGTCAGCGAGAAACTGGTCATTCCGTAAACCAAAATGGCGACCAGACGGGGGGCTCAGCTCTACTTCCTCGGGATCCTCTGTCTTTAAAAGTTGGGAAACTGCTGAAGTTTCAGCACACCTTGAGCGGCACGAAAATGTCCTATTCAAAGCGAGCGTACTTCCCTTAAAAGTAAATAATAAAAATAATTTGATTTTTGTGCGCACATGAATATTTTTTTATGGATTGTGTAGGCTATGTCGAGATTGATTAAAAGTTTAAGCTTTGAACGCATGCGTTTCGTGCCTAGCTGAGTCACTAACAGGATGAAAACGCCACTGAGAAGCTTAACTTCCCCCTCATCCAGCGCGAGCTTTCTACCTTTAATGACAGTCTCATGAGCTTTGGGCCTGCACGTGCAACCAAAGCGCGGCGCCAGGCAACAAGCGTTTGCTGGAGGCCGGTCGTCCGAAGGGTAAACCCTGTCCTCTTCATGCTCTTGGTGAATATAACACAGCGATATCATGCTTATTTCGAACATCAGTGCTAAAAAGAACACTAAACAATCTTAGTGGTGTTTCAGAATACCAAAAGAACTCATGAGCATAAGGCTCGAGGTACACCTAAGCACTTCTTTTGAGTTGTGAATGCGAAAGCAGGAATTCCGTTCTTGAGCGCGCCCTCGTGAATTGGCCGCGCCGCGGTGACATCGGCCGTGCCGCCGCTCTGGAGTCTGCCCGGGCGGGCTGGCACCGCCGCCATCCGATTCCTTCTACCGGCGCGCTGGCGGCGCGGGTACACAGCGCCATCAGGTGGCGCACCTCGAAACTGACGCGCGGCGGCTGCATCCCTCAGATTTCGGCTTCATTTCGCTGCAGTTTTACGCGGCTTTTTATGCGGCTTCAAAGCTGGGAGGCTTCATATGGCGGTTTCATTTCTTTGCCGTTTTGCGTGGCTTTCAGCGTGGCTTCAGATCGCGGCTTCACCTCGCTCCATTGGGAGAGGGGAATTTAGCTGTCGTTTGGAGCGGTTTTTGGTGCGCCTTCAAAGCTCATGACGTCGGCTCGCTCCGAGGGGCAGTTACAGTTTTCGCATTATTAACGAAGTGGACAAACGAAGGCATGCAATGTGACGGATGTTAACAGGCGTAAAACAAATATTCAGGAGTCAGAAAAGAAAAGCGCACATCTTAGGGCGGAAAAATGCTTTCAGATTTACATTTGTAAAGAATCGTACCCTCGATACAAAACTTATTGTGAAGTGTTTTCATTACTTTCTGAAAGTGATGCATAAAGTTATGACTGATATTTTCTACCTACTAATTATACGCTAGAATCACAAGCATATAATTAAAGTTCACCCAAATTTCGGGATAATACGAATTTTTCAAAATCCCCGGCCAAAGTCCCTTGAGACTAATGTATTACGTTTCGGTCTAGTCCAAATGCTTTCTCGGGCCACGGTGGATCATACGCTTTACTACTTTTAAAACACAGTTGTTGTAATTCTAATTAAACTACATTTGCAAAGCAATGTAGCCAATCGTATTCATAAGGTTGAAATTGTACGCTTCTTTAGCAGAATGTATACGTAACTAAATTATATTTGTTGAAATCATAAGATACATGCAGGTCCATCGGTTAGACAAATGTGAACAATTTAGTTTAATTTTCGATCAATAAAATGTTGCTTAGATACTACAGTGGACACGTTTTTCATACTTCCACAGAAACAGAGGAACACTTACGTGCACGTAAAGTCGACAGCGGCGTCTGGCTTGCAGGTGCCTCCATTTTTGCAAACGTTTAGTGTACACACAGCTATAATGTAAACAAACGCATTGCACATTTTATTCGTATTCAGAGCAACTGTGATGTATAATTCTAACGACAAAGAAAATGAATGTGTTTTAATCTTGGCGCAACATTTGGAAGTATGTCTGTTCAGAAACTGTGGGGGCAACAAAATAATTCCTAGATAAATGATGCAGATTTCAGTTTTTTATTGTGAGGATTTTGGGAAGTCCTCTTCTCTAGCAGTCAGGATTTTTACCTCTACATGCCCTGTTGTTTATGTCCGTAGGATGTACGGTTAGTATTATACAAATAATACCTACGAGAGTAGGTACGTACGCGCGCTGGCAATACAATAATAAAACAGCCGATCAAGCCTTTTTCTGGGTTTTCGGCCCTAGAATCTCAATTAACTTTTGTCTTGTCAGAGACCCAAAAATGAAAGCTTAACTTCGCCTTCCACTCCTTGTTGGGACCTCAGCGGTATCTTAATAACTGGCCGGTACTCTAAAAAAGCACGATGGACTGTTTCAACTCGTATTGTCCGCTATGGTATTACAATAAGTCTGACGAAAATATGGGATGAGAGTAAAGGAACTACTATTATGCCTACTTTCTTGAATAGTCACTAACCTAAATAGTGATTTCGCTTTCACTTTCTATTATTGGTATCGCCATGGTTCTTGGTTGTCACGTAGAACAATTACTCCGAAAGTATTACTTAGAAACAATTTTCTTAGTGTCTTAACACACGACAATCAAGTAGGCCTTCAATAAGTGGAAACCTTAGGGTTTGACATCAGGCCCGGATGTAATTGGTGGGCTCGCCTTGTTAGGTGGTGAAAATCAGCGGGTTATACTGATACAAAACTTCCTAACATGCCCATAAGAGCTGTGGACTTAAAAAAAAAAAATATCGAGCTTCTTCAGTTCATGATGCAGTCGAAAGCATGATTCTAAACTTAATAAAAGCATATGTCATAAAAAAGTTTATTTCAATATTCTGTAGAACGGATTAAACCGCGGTGTCTATACCATGCTGACGGCACCAGTACTATAAATTGTTTAAAGAATATGCCTAGACGACACAGACAAGCTGTTCGAGACGTCGTTATTGTTAAAAATAGTGACGCATATTTTTTCCAGGTTATTTTCGAAGCCGGTGGATTTCACATGGTTGTAAAAATAGCATAAATTTGTATTTATTTATGCCAGGTTCGCTGTCCACGTTCAACATGGGGGCAACGCAACGTAAAGTGGGCTGCTGTGTTTCTTATCTTTTCTGTTTCTTTTTGATGTGCGTTTGATTTGTCTGCCTTGGTAGGATCAGATGTGGTTATTTCCTGTTGTTGAACACAGCTTTCGTTAACCATCGTGTTTTGTCTCTTCGAGCATTTTCCGTGTTTTAAACTCACACCATAAAGAGTCTGGTTTAAATTACAGAAAACGTTTGGTAATATTTCACTCTAGAGAACATTGGAGCAGCCCTTGTCATAACTGTGATCACAACTTTTTCCAAGGACTGCACTCCTTCCTTTCTACAGGAGACTAATCTGTTCGTGGATAAACCAAACATTACATAAAAAGCGGTGTCAGAGTTGAAATTTCGTATTAGTTGAAATTCGGGACTCTTATTTTATATAAGACTCCCGAATTATGGAGTTTTTTTCGCTTAATGGTGAACGTGAACAATTTTATTTGCACTTTTGAGTGTCTGGTGTCTCGCTTTTAGCAGAAGAATATTTAAGAGCACTGAGAGAGTACACTAACGAAGTAATGGCATCATATTGCCGCATGCATGGCCAAGTTGGCATCGCTCCCGGCTCCCAAGCGAGAGCACAGCTGTATAGTTCTCCTAATGGAACCTTTTTTGCACAATCCTGTGACATATCGCTTGATCTTGCGCATAATTTTCCAGACTACGCAATATCTAGAAAAGGTTGAAACTGGCAACATCAGCACAGTCCATCTTTCGTCGCGATCTGACAATGTATACGGTTCTTTCTCGTTTTAATTTGAGAACACCAGATAGCCTTATCAAACGTGTGTTTTCAGTTCCACATTTACCTGCTGTTTTTATTCGTGACAATATACTATACGTTATTTGAACCAGGATGTCTGAAGTGTTCATTCACTGGACGAAAATAACCAAAAACTTAACAAAAACACTGAAGCAAAAAAGAAAAAAGACAGAAAAAGTGTGATGATTTAATATGCGGTTAGCTTTGCATGTAAAGCTAAGACACACGTTATGTACCCCATTTTTTATATACATTTTATATTATTCGGAAACGTTACCAAAGGTTATTCTCTAAACATTAACTGCCTGCCCATATTAATGGGGCTCAGTTATTACTTTGTGTTTATGCGACTTTTTTTTTAAATTTAGGTCGAATGTTATACTTTCATTGTGATATACCATGCGCAACTATTTTCACTCCATAAGAAAAAACACGTTTTTTTTACACACCATCATCCTTGAATATTTTATCCTTTTTTGCTTTGTCTAGAAAGTCATTTTTTACAAGAATTCTATCGAACAAATGTGTCTTTATATTTTGTTTAAAACCCGCAGATAAATGGCCACTGACGACTCCGACATGCATACTTTACACTGTCTAAAAGGTTGCTGAAGGGCGCAATAAAACAAGCTAAACATCGTCTGCATATCGAGAAAAAACATATTGCACGCACGGGGCTAAAACATGCGCCTGATTTTCCGGTTGGCAGTCCTCCTCGCTCGGGATCAACGGAAGAAAAAGATAAAATGCCAAAGTACAAGCCCGGGTTGAAGTAACAGAGCAGTCAAGGAGCGCACCACCTCACTATTGCCGTCACCATGCACGCAAAATTCTTATATAAATTTTATATTTTTTCTTTCTGAAAATGTTTTTTTTTTTGTATTAATATGTTAGGGTGATACCGAGAGATATTTAGCAACAATAAAGAAATATCGATGTTCTGCTTGTGAGCGGCCAAAACGATGTCTAAATTTGACTGGGTCGAAAACCAAAAGCAGTGTATGAATGAATTACTGAATTACTTGGAATGATGGTAATGAGGGTTAGAGTTTTGGTTGGAAAGCGATTCGACTGCAAAAGGGAGAGAGCATAAGTAAAAAAAATGAAAGCCGTTTACAATTGACTGTAACGCCGGTTGGACCGCAGCTCTTAAGGAGGAAGATGGAAGCGTACTGAGGGATAGGTGACTCCTTAAGGTTACGTGACCTCAGGGGGGGTCGTGTGACGTCAGGGGGGTCACGTGACCTCGGGGGAGGGGGTCACGTGACTTCAGGGGGTCGCGTGACGTCAGGGGGTCACGTGGCCTCGGGGGAGGGAGTCACGTGACCTCAGGGGGTCACCTGACCTTAGGGGGTCACGTGACCTCGGGGTGGTAACGTCACCTCAGGCGGTCACGTGACCTGGGGGTCACGTGACCTCAGGGGGGTCTCGTGACCTCAGGCGGTCACGTGACCTCGGGGGGGGGGGGGGGGGCGGTCACGAGATTTCGGGGGAGGGGGTCACGTGACCTGGGGGTCACGTGCCCTGGGGGTCATGTGACTTGGGGAGTAACGTGACCTGGGTGTCACGTGACCTGGGGGTCACGTGGCCTGGGGGGGTCACGTGGCCTGGGGGGTCACGTGACTTGGGGGGTCACGTGACCTGGGTGGTCACGTGACTTGGAGGGGTCACGTGACCCTGGGGGAAGTCACGTAACCTTGCGGGTACGCCGACGGCGACGCCGCTCAAGCCGGAAACGGCCGCCTAAGAACTGCGCTCTAAGGTACGCAGTCGGGCAGAGGCGCAGCTTCCGTGCGCTTGGCGCAAGCAAGGAGGTGGCGCTGTTCTATGGAAGACTTCGTTAGCTCACCGACGGTGGTCGCTTGATGCTGTTAGCTCTGTATAACCGGTAGTTCACGAAACATAACGTGACAGGCAAAAGTGAGATCTGAATGTCAAAACGCTTTTTTTTTTGAGGCAATGAGTTTGCGAATTATTTTCGGGAGAGTTGGATATATGGAGCAACCAGTACGGAGTGGCTACAGTTCGCGTGTAAGCGCTAAGTGCTGTATATTGTCATGAATAACAAGAGCAGAGGCGGCGAAAATCTCATTTCAAACTGATAGTCTAATGGTGCGAACTTGTGCCAAACAAAATAAAAAACGATCGTCGAGGCAGTTGAAAAGCAGGCCGCGATTTTGCGGCGTAACAGCAAGCGAGAGCGAGACTGACTATACAAGCTCCCGCGCAGCTCTTTATCCAGTGTGAGTTGGCTTCTCGATCCTTCGGACCAGAAGGTTCGAGCGTCAAGCGTTCGGCATGAGAATTCACAGACGCTTTCGTGAACAAGAAAATAGGACGAATTCATAAAAGTTCTGGCGCCGCGAGCGGCAATGTTACCCATCATCTGCGTGTAATTGGTTTACTACCAGATATAAATTAACATCTGGAATGGGCTGCTCTTCGAGACATCCACGTATGAAATATATTTATTTTATATTCATAAGGGATATTTCGGTTTGTCCGTATTTTCCTTCACAAGAAAATAAACATTGTGTCTGGGTTTAGAAATCCGCAGACACTTCATTGTTGCACTTATCTAGCCTAACACCCCTCGCCTCCCCCAATTTCACTAAGTTATCGTTGTCATCATCGGAAACATGATAAACCTGATCCGCTGCTTTTACTTTTCTTCTCGAGTTTCTTGTAGCAGCTTATGTTATTTTTTGTAGAATTCGTTAACTGATCAGCCTGATGATATTTGACATAAAACACGCCGAATTCCTGAATACATTTTTAGAGCAGTTTAGGAGTCTTATAAAGAGTGAAAAACATAATTTAGATTTTCCGGATATGTAAATATGGTTGTGATAGTATAATACAAAAAAAACTAAATGAAAGTAATGTTTATGAGAAAAGTGCTGGTTGGTAAATGCTGAGTGAAATTCACCATGATAAAATTTTCAAAGGTGGCTTAACCTGCTTTTAAGAGTGGTCTATGCATAGGTGCCCGTCTCATTGGTTAAGCTGCCCCACCAACCATGCAATTGTTTTTTAATTATGGAATTTTTTTATATGAAATTAGTCTCGTCATTCATTGGTGTATTTCCTTGATACGTTTAGACATGAAATTGATGTCACATGACAACATGACGACATTATGACGTATGATTAAATGACTCAATTTTTTCTGCCACAATTGAGGAAAAATTAACGTCGCCTGACGTCCTAGTATCATATAAAAGTGGCGATGTGGGCTAATTGACTACCGACTGAAGAGGCGGTGTGAGCTAGTTGGTTCGTAACTGAATTGTCCGTTGTCATTTAGCGCTTGTAAGTTTACCTCTTCTACTTTGATCAATTTTTCTACAGAATATTTTCGTCTCTTCAGTCGTAGCACGACGTGATGCCACGACTTCACACAATTATATCCCGTCACGTAACGCCACCCCATGGCGTCAGTTCAAGTGACGTAAATTTACCCGTTATATTTAAGTGTGATATTGATATCATGTGACGTCACACCGCTTTTCATCACTTGACACGATCACATGACGTGACGTCAAGGTGTTAACTTCACGTGACTATTTTTTTCGCTATTTCCTTTCTACATTTAGCGGGGAACATAAGTAATACGTTTTTGCTCACTCTCCGTAAAATCTCTTTACTGCATTCTAGACAGGTTGAAACGATTGCTCTTGAAAGATTGCATTTTACGCATCTTTATAACTTCGGAGATAAAGGTCGGTGCACTCTTTCAAACTCATTGATCATTTTCTGATTCTACCCGCAATTAGGCTAAATTCAGAAAGCACGTATTCTCACATAAATATAATAAAATATGGACAAATTATACTTACAGACACAAGTGTCATTATCAAGCCGAAACCCTCGTTTGCAGAGACAGGTTTGATGCACGCACTCCTTGTTTTCATGTTCACTGCAGTACTCAGTGCAGGGTTTATCTGAATACAACAAAAAGGAATACGTTAAATAACGCTGAGAGCATGACATAAAACTTAGTTGTGAATGAAAGACCATAGAGCAGAGTTTTTTTTTTTTGTTTTTTTTGTCGGCGAAATATGAGAACTATATGGATATTTAATTTTACGGTTATTTAGTATTTGAGAAGAACAATTATGAAAACATTAATAAGGTAAGTCCATTCCACGTTAACTCTACATCAGCTCTGCTAACGCAGCTTTCTTGAGGCGATTAAATTCTGCTTGCAAAGTACTAACCGCGCTCCCTAAGAGGCGTTAGTGGGTTAATCAAACAGTGAAACTATTTGACGTGATTTTCTTTAAATATAGAGTAACAACATCGTTCAACGGATATTTGCATTTTTTTCAATTTTCTGGATTTTAGTTTTTTAGCCGGTTCATGAGCTTGCAATTATTTACGATACACAGCTACGTACCTTCTGTGCTTATGATATATTGACTTCGATTCGTTTTTAATTGAGAGCTGATAATTGAACCGAAAGCAACCAACTCCGTATTTTGTACTAGAAGGACAACCGATTAGAGCAACGTCGTTGTGTTCAGTTAAACTGAAATAGCACCAAACAATTGACGCACGTAGAGCGTAAAATAAAGACATAGTTTTGGAAGGACCATTGTAATAATTATACGGATGGATGCATTGCAATTTTCTTGGGTCTCAAATGTTTATCGCATTAAGGAGTTGCCTATTGGGAATAGACGATTATTGCCGCGACTTCTATTTCAATTTTGTTAGTCAAGGGACAGTTACGAGAGACCTCAAACCTTTTTTTTGAAGAGTAACGAATATTTGGGGTAGGTACACAAAAGCTAAGACATTCATATTCCACCATCATAAACCCAAGCAAATAAGCACTCCATTTTATAAACAATCAAACAAAAACTAACAAAGAAAAAAAAAAATGGGTGGGTAATACAGAAACCCACAATCCGGACTATGAACAATCCGTTTAGAAATGAAGTTGTAAACTGTGTAAATATATGATTTTTTCTGTTTAATATGGAACAAGCTTTCTAAACACGGTTCCTAAACACAAGCGAAAAAAGAACAAAATATTGATATTTTTGGGCCCTCAATGTAAACCCTGAGCTTTTCCTATTGTCTGCTGATTGCCCTTTCGATGGAAAGGATTGCACATTGCCACCGTACAATGAATAGATTACCCAGACTCCGATAACAAATGAGTCACTCGCCCTTCTCTTCCTGTGTTTGTCACCGCCGGGGGTGACAAACCTGAAGAGCATTCATAGGTCATGCGCAGACAGAACACTTCCAATGCCACTTGGAAGTCAATAAGATAGGCGCAAAGAAGGAAGAGGCAGTTATTATCTGAATCTTGAAATGTCCACACTTCACGATATTTATATGAAAAAATGTATTGATATCACATATTCTCCAAAGACATTGCTTTGCACGATATTTATATGAAAAGCGTTTAAAAGAATAAGCAGCAAGCCTGTAGGACGCAAAAATGCTGAAAGTGCAGGTGAGCTGGTCTGTATTCAACAGTATAGTAAACTTAAATATTAGCTTCAATTAATTTGTTTTTCTAAAACGTATAAAAGATACGAAAAATATTTTCTTCTGAGCAATATTTACGCAGATAGACGCAATTTAGGTGCAGAATGTGGAGGTCGCAGCCCGCTAAGCCCCGCCCGTGATCTATTTGCTCTGCCTCTTACTATTTTATATTTTGTTTCACCACAGTCTCAAAATTTACAGCCACGTTGGGGAACGTTTTTGTTAAGTAGCAGATATATTACTCTTTTTGGTTAAGAAAGTAGGAACCAAAAAGTCTGTGAAGAAAAAGTCTAGATTTTCCTAAATTAACAATGCACTTTTTGCCCAGGCCTGCTGCTTAATATTTGTGGCCTTGACTTTGATTTGTTATACCAGATGACTCACATTACGAATGATTTTCTTGAGGAACGGAGGAGCCTATGTTATCGCAACATGACTAATATTGTGTCAGCATTACATGTTAGCGTCAAAGTTACAGGTTATAATTAACTACACGTCTTAAATGAAAAGGAAGCTACGTTTCTGCAACTAAGGTAGCTGAGGCTGAGACGGACATACCTTGACAAAGTTCCACTTCAAATCCAGAAACATTCATGTTTCCGACAGGAATGGCTCTAGCAGTGTCGCAAACTAGCGCATACGCATTATTTCTCTGTATGCACTTTAATCCGCCAAGTCTCTTTCCTAGTGTTGAGAGCCCCATTTCGCAATGGTTCACTAGAGTTGCTGAAACATTACATTTGGGCGTCAGCTGAAGGTTATACAACTCACGTAGGGACACAATGGTTCAGTGGTATGGGAAATGAGACGTGCAAAATTGTCTTGACAACATATATTCTCAAAATGAATTGCTTTGCAGCATATTTATATGAAAAGCCTTTATCATTGAACATCACGATATTTGTTCAAGCGTATATAAAAGTTTAATAATGTTAAATAGTTTATTAAATAGTTTTGCAACTATTTAATAAAGGGGGGCTTTGTTGGTCTTATGGTAGGGAAACCGCAAAGAAGGTTCTTTCTAGATGGAGTGCTCATTCTAAACTGGTAAAAGGGGGGGTGGTGAGATCATTAATTGGCAGTGCACTGAAAAAATCTTGTTCTCATTGTGTTGGTAACGCTTTCGACGTTCAAACCAAACGTCTACTGTCAGCGGGTTATAGATTGGATTTTATCGTTTCTAGTGCACGTAGACTGCTTGTACGCGCGTCGGTGACCGCTGAGAGGGTTCAAGGTAGAACCCTTGCTGTAATTCCTTATTTTCATGGTTTTTCTCATAGCCTAAAAGCCTTGGGTGCGAAGTTTAACGTTAATGTAGTTTTTAGGACGGACTTCCGTTTAGACAGGCTTACTCCGTTTTCCTTCAGACGTGAGGGATGTTGCGGGAAAAAACACAGAGATCCCTCAGTCTCCTGTGTCACAGAGGTAGTCTACAAGATCCCCTTTGACTGTGGATTGTGTTATGTTGGTCAGACGGGGCGTTGTTTGAATGACCGACTTGCGGAGCATAAAAGGTGTGTAAAGAATTTGGCGCAGAATTCTGAATTGGTTAATCATGTTAGTTCTTGTAATTTTTGTTCCCCTCTTTGGAAAAAAACTTCTGTGTTGTGTAACGAAAAAGAATTGTTTAGAAGGCTAATTAAGGAGACTTTATGCATTCGCGAGCGGGGGAATTGTGTCAGCCAGCCGTCCTTGGTAATCACTGATCGAATGAAAGAGTTTTTGCTTGTATGAGGGGAGCTTTGGAAACCTTGAAAAAGGCGGGGGGGGGGGGGGGGGGGGGACCGGGAAGCGTTTGCTTCGAGTAAGAAATTTGGGGATTAGGCTTTAGCGGTTTGGAGGTCACCATGTGTGGCGACCGTGGGGTTGTTGTTGTTCGAGTGGTCGGCTCCCTTTCCGGGGCTTGTTGGAGCCGGGAAGTGGCTTAGGCCGTCTGGGGTGAACGCGTTGGCCGTCTTGTTTTTGCTTTTGAGTTTTTTGCCCTTTCTCTTTTCCTTTTGTGTAAAAGTATATTTATTGGTATGCTCCTATCAATAAAACTTCAGCTGCGTTTGAGATTTTGTTGTGTTCGTCCGTTTTTTTATCGTTCCCCATCTCAGGGTTTACGAGATGTCGACCTTGTATTTTTTTAAAGTCAAACTAATGGCCAATTCGTCTGGGCCCGCATCGCACCGGTGCAGTGCGGTTCGTGGTACACGGAAGGCTAGAGGCGAGAGGGAAGCGCCCTTCTCTCCCCGCCAGCCTTTCGTGTACAAAGTGGAAAGAGTTTACTGCACTGGACGGGTGCGGTGCGGGCCCAGACAAATTGGCCATAAATAAGTTTTAATTGCACAGCACCATGTTTGACGTTAAAAGTATTATAAAGTAATACATAATTCTAGCTTAAGACATCAAAAGCTCATTGATGTTCATTGATTGGGCGAATTATTAGAGTAATTTTGTAAAGTTGGTTCCTGACGCACTCATGGTTACTGACAAAATCGTTACTGGAAATATAGAGCGCGCCTAAAGGTTTCCCGCTCATAATAATCCAAGTGTCAGCTTTTTTTTAATCTCAGAGTCCCTGATAGTAACTCAAGTTTTCAAGAATTCTATCCAAACGCCATTTTTATTAAGTTAAGAGTGACTCAATTTAATCCATTTATATCTCTGAATGAACTACGGCAACGAACCCATATGTTACAATCATTTTAGAGGTCTAAGTTGTTTGCAAGTCATGAATGACTTTCACTCTAAATGCGCGTTTCGTGACAGGCTCTCTCGAAAATTTTGAATCGGCCGCCGCGACATCCAAGCGGGAGATGCCAGATTATCGTCTCCAACCGCGACACGGCGCAAGCATAACACGAAGTGTTTGCAGACGAAACAAGAGCGCTGTCCGATGGTTTAATCAACAGACGTCGTCTGCTATTCCATGCGACCGTCTGCGCTTCTTGTGCACAGCTGCTCAATGGCACTGATGGAGTAATTTCAGGTAGACTTGGATTAAAAAAAGCCGGCACTTCGATTATTAAGTGTAGGGAAACCTGTAGTTTACTGTAAAGCACTCGGGAAATTCAATTGCTGCAATCTGCGAAGGGACTCGTCAAATGACCAGGCTAAATACATGCGCTGCGATGCTGAGCATGACGTAAGACGTGATACGTTACACCCAGTGTCACAGAGTAGACATTCTTTATCAGGTCAAAATATAATTTAAAAGCCGTCAGTCAACGTGCTCTTACTCTCTCTCACTGTAGATTGCAGCTTGGCTCTCCCAAATGCTTCACGGGACAGCAGATGCAGTAGGACCCTTAAGCCGGGGTCACGAGGCTCATATATCATGCGAAAGACAGTCTGCAAACACGAGTCACCGCAATATTGGTGGTTCGAATGCCGCGTGCCATTGCCATGCGGCATTCGAAGGTACGAATCTCGCGGTGACGCGCGTTCAAACCTGTATGCAGACTGTATTTTATATGATATATAATAAGTGTGGCCCCGGCTTCACACTGCAGAAAAGAAAATGGCGTCCACGTACTTCTGATTTCATCCTTTTGCAGAACATACTCTCCTAAATTGAAGAGCCGTTTCTCCAGTGTGTCTTTTACAGTGTCCGCAATGTTACAGTCAACGTTCTTCTCAATCACAACGTTCATTGTCACCTCTCCTTGCCTGAAACATTCGTATAGAAATGAGCATCCAAACAAAGATACAAAAATAGTCACCATTATTTTCCGCCTATGCAGGGCCGTGCATTCAGTTTATTAAACATGCGGTATTTTTCTTTGTAACTAGCACTTTGTCAGATCTTGCTTCAAATCTAATTGCGCGGTTCGAGCAAGGTGAATGAAAACAGGGCTCATGCCGTACTGAAACGCTTGGGAGCAATATCCTAGTATAAGGTGGTGAGTGAAACATCGTATTGCTGTAAAATAAGAAATAAATCAGGATTAATAAGGCATTGCGTACGTATCGCTAGTATATAAATGACACAAATGTAAGCATCTATCGTCGCTGATGGCTGAAGACACGCAGGGTGCGGCGACTTCCGAGTGTTTTATTGACTCTCTACATCCAATCAAATCAAGGAATCAGCCGATAAAAAAACGCCGAAAAACCAATGACGATGCGAGACGCAGCAACAAAAGAAATGTTTCTTTTGCTGTCAGTGACTAAGTTTGCGTGATCATACGAAATAATTTGTTTTACTTCTCTCTACTATATCAATTGCAGCGTAGCGCAAAGGTGTACTACGTGTAACGCGCAGTTTTAATATGTTGTCATTATTTTTATAAAAAATCGCGCGTAGCACGTAGGTTTTACGTACGTGAAACGCATGGTCGTACGTTTTATGTACGACCATACGTTGAGAAATTCAGGTAAAAGAAAGGAACCGTTTTATGTTTTTCCCCATGCTGTCAGTTGGCATACAGTTATGAATCATGATAATGTATAGGTTCAGGAGGCTCTCTTTCTTAAAGGAAACATGCAAAGGAAAAAAAAAACATATTTTTAAACAGCTTAGATGGAAAAAGGATATTATAAAACGATTTACAACGAAGAAAAAAAAATTAGAGCTATATTTACGGCGCTATACAAATTTGTAGTTGGCGCCCGCGGGCGCCGCGGAAAAGTGGCCCGTATTTTTCACGTGACTGGCCCTTATTTATCACGTGGTGCTTGCGCTCTTTCGGAAGCTTCATATGGCCTCTAAAAGTAACTTATTCATCTTTGTTTGAAGCATAACAAAAAAAAACTAAGATTAATAAGTAACTTTTAGAGCCCAAAGGAAACTCCTGAAAAAGCGCAAGCAGGCTTGAGTGACCTGTGCGGCGGTCAGATGACGACGGCGGCGCCCCGAAGCAAACGAACTTGTGCGGCGGTGGCAACGGTGGCGCGGAGAAACGCATTGAAGCGCCGTCACACAACGCTCATCGTGCGGTGGCGGCGTGACTTTGCGGCGATGGCGACGCAGCGCGGCGGCGCGCGGGCATACCACGTGACCAGCGGCGGCTCCCGCAGGCGCCAACTACAAATTCGGTTTGCGCCGTAAATATCGCTCTAAATATTTTTTCTTCGTTCTAAATTCGTTTTATAATAATATCCTTTCTTCCATCTAGACTGTTTAAAAGAAAAAGATTTTTCCTTTGCATGTGTCCTTTAAGGCGAAAGCGCCATATGTCCCATTACGGGAAAAGGCGGCGTCGGCGTTGTGCCCGAAAGATGGCCACTAAAATGTCTTCAAGCACGTGCCGCTTGCGGTCAAAGGGGACGTGTTTCAGAAATAAAAGATAAAGAAAGGCACAGCAACGCAGAAGCTTCGTCACGGAAGCCATGAAGCCGGCGGAGACGCCTTGCCTGTGCAGTGTGGGATCGCGATTTCACCGCCAGAGCGCAGCATAACATAGCGCCAAAGCATGACATAGCGCGCTGCCCCCGGCGCGTCAGTTGCCCTTCGGAGTTCATCTGTGCTCGTTTTGTACTTCCTGCGATGGGACCGTGAGGCGTCCGCGTCTACATCTACGGCGGCGGAATGAATACTATACCGGCAGAAACAATACCTGTAGAAACAATACTCGGCAACATTTCACCCTCGGAACTATTCTTATACGCAAGCAGCCTTCTCTGTCTTCGGCGTTTTTTGCGAGCTGATAAGAGTAGTCAATCTGTAAATTATAGGACTTGAAGTAAGCCTCGACACATTGTAAATCGTATTCGCCATAAGCGTATCACGAGCTTTTGATAAACGTAATTATGGTTGCTGAGAGTCTGATATTTATTGGCATGCCGTATCCGTTTGACGTTTCTGTTTTTCAAAATACGTCATTCACGTGAACGGTAGAAATCATTATTGTTTTCATTCCACAAATATCTTAAATATGAAATTCGGACGCACTTACCAGCATGTTATGTTGACCACGCTAATTATAGTTTTGTCTTGGATTGGCTTTTCTACCTGAAAATAAAATTTAAGCATGAGTGGTGAAGCCCTTAAAAAAGATAAGAAAATAAAAGCCCGAGAATTAATGTTCACATTGTTTGACATACATGAAGCATGTTGCGCTTGAGAGCGTTGGTATCTGATTCTAACATTCGCTCTTTTTAATTTAGCCCTCATGACGCATGTTTTTTTTCCAAATTTACCATATTTATGGCATTTTAGTTTAATATTGATGCTGAGAACAAGACTCCTGGGGGAACACCGAAATAAAAAAAAAAAGGTAAAAGTTGCAATGAAAGAAAGCATTCACACTGTTAAATTTAACATAGCGATACAACTTCAATAACCGGTTTATTTAAATAAAGGCAGATATTGCAGACATTCTGAAGTGTGAAGTTTCTACACACCTTTGTGGATGTGTCGTTATTTTACTATAACTTTTTATGACACAATAATATTATTCATTAAATATTATATTTGATACTCATTCGCGAATTACCGAGATCGGTCATTTCCAGAAAAAAATTTCTTGAGCTTGGTTTTTCCGAGCGCTGTTTGGGTATTGCCTACTTTGAGGCGAATTTATGAACCGGATTGGACGACCGGGAAGTTTTCAGCACCTTATATTGCTATACTGTACAGATGATTGACTTGCCTTCCCTCTTTCCCGAAAGTCAGTCATTCCTTGCTGGATATCTACCTGCATCTGCAGTTCTACTCCCCCCCCCCCCCAAAAAAAAAAAAATAAATAAAAGACGAGACGTTTGCTAGTTGCGTTCTTTTTTTGTTTACGCACTTTATACTACGTTCCCGCCTTACTCACGCATGCTTTTCTTTGAAAGTATTTATACCGTTCTTTTGAGTTGTTGACCCATTTTGCATTATTGAAGTATCTACTGTTTTCTCTGCCTTTCACTGGTGACAGTATCCTTACCTCCTCTTTAATCACTTCTTCGGGTGGACAATCATCATCGTTGCTGAAGGTCACACGGGACTTCTTTTTCAGCTTGAATGTTACCTTGACGACTGTCTGATCTGCAGTAACACAATAACAAAAAAGGTGAATATCGCTGGACAAAAATGAATAAAAGGAATATCCATTGGTGCATACTTAGGGAATGCTTTAACATGACACCTGGCAAAAGTGACACACGTCCCGTTTTGGGAAACGCTTACGCTGGACCCTGTCTTCTCTGTTTTGGCTTTATAATTTGCATCCTCAATGTTTTGCAGCCTCTTTTGGGTTTGTTACGGGGTCAATGTTAGCGTTTCGCAAAACGGGACGTGCGTGGCGTTTCCCATCCTACCGTGAGAGTCAATATAACTTTTCGCTATCTGGATTATGAAAAAAAGAAATCGTATTGGATTATATCTGGATTTCAAGTCTTTAGACTGGATTTCGGGTTTCCAATAATATTTCCAGTTAGAATTATTGTTCCATAATCTAGATAGTAAGAGATTTATTGGGTATTGGGATAGGTCAAGGGGCATGCTGAAGCATTCCCTAAAGATCCACCAATTTATCTTTCTAAATTTTCTTTTCCGACCTTGGGGGTGCCGGCCTAGGGGGGGGGGGGGGGGGGGGGGGGGGCACGCGCCGTCCCGCAACATATGGTAGCGCGACGCCAGCGTTTAGAGTCTCGCAAAACTTTCTAAAGCGTTGCGGTGCGTTCCACCAATCAGAAGCCGATAAAGGAGAGGAGGGTCACGTGTTCGCTCGCGCCACTTGACGATGCGCATCCGGTTTTTCGTTCGCGGAACCTGCTTTTTCGTGTTGAGGAGCAGCGGAGAATGCGCGAGCAAGTTTTTCAAAGACTGTGATGGGTTAGGCTGGTGAGATTGTCGGGGAACCCATCGGGGTTGTCCCAAGATCAACAACTTCAACGCTGTCGCCGTGCCCCGCCATGTTGCCGTGAATTTCACTTGCTATTAGTGAGTTGCATGCTAGCAACGATAGCACGGTCGTATAGCCGTATTCCCCGCACGCGCTTGCTGAGCGGATTCTTGTTCTCCTCGCGATTTGCGAGCAATCTCTCCGTCTGCTGCTTGTAGATCTGGAGCCGTTGGGGCGCTCGCCGAGCGGCTCTAACCAATCTGTGGGAAAGTGGCGGAGCGCGTCGAGTGGTCCGGAGTGGTTCTCAGCACAGCCTTTTTCGGAGGAGTACGACCTGTAGTCACTGGCAATATTTCAGTTTTGTTATCAACGTTCCCGCGGGGGAGTGAAGGAGTTTAGCGGCTTTTTTGTTTCGATTGCTGGGTGGGCTCTCTTGCTGTGCTTGCTTTCCTTCCTCTCGTCATGAACGACTCGCTCGAGCATACTGCGGCGACGACATCTTTGCAGTTTATTTGAGGAGGTCTAATAAAGGGCAGTGACAGCGAAATTAGCTGCAGCGACGTAGATACCAGCTTAGCTCCAGCTGGAGGGACGACGAGGCAGCCGTTCTCGGCGAAGTGTTTGCCGAGTCTTCCGCCTTGCCGGCGAAGAGGCCCAAGATATCGTGTGACGTCGAAGACGTTGTGCGCGCCTATTCGGATGAAGAGCTAGTGTCGTTCTTTCAATGTGTGGTCTCTGTAATGTAATTAAAGTAACCCGAAGACAATACACAAAGTAAGAGATATCAAATGGCACCAAAAAGACAAGGACAAGAAGTATGCAGGTCAGGCGCTAGCTTTCAACTAGTTTTATTCAGGAAAAGTAAACATTTATATACACACGACAGGCAGAGCAGCACCACGTAAAAGTTAAGTTTTTACCCGATCACTCAAAAACTGAAATTCATTACAATGAAGTACAATAGAAGTGTCGCTGACACATGCCGTCCCACTTTTTTTGATAAAGAAAGCTTCCAATAGCTCTCGAGCGACCGTCTCTCGGCTTCTTCCTTATCTGCTGAAGTCACGGAACACAGCCACACGTGTCGCAATGTATTGGCAAATGCGAGCCACATTTATTATTTACTGATAATGCGTGCTCCTGTGCTCGGTCATTGATCAGCACGCATTATCAGTAAAAAATAAATATGACTCGCATTTGCCAATACATTGCAACACATGTGGCTGTGTTCCGGGACTTGAGCAGATAAGGAGACTAGAAAAAAGCCGAGAGACGGTCGCTCGAGAACTATTGGAAGTTTTATTTATCAAAAAAAGTGGGACGGCATGTGTCAGCGACACTTCTATTGTACTTCATTGGAATGAATTTCAGTTTTTTAGTGATCAGGTAAAAAAATAATAAACTTTTCCGTGGTGCTGCTTTGCCTGTCGTGTGTATATATACGTTCATTTTTCCTTAATAAAACTACTTGAAAGTTAGCGCCTGTCCTCTGTACTTCTTGTCCTTGTCTTTTTTGCACTATTTTATAAGCTTTACTAAGATGAACCAACTAGCACCAAAAACGTACCCTACTATAAAATACACCAAATACTCCGGAATGGGAAATCGCCTTGGGAGATGACGATCACTTTACGGCATACGTGTTTGGTATTGCTTAATTGCATCCTACGGTTCCGACAAGCACTTTTAGTTGATTTTTTTTTCATAGGGTTTACATAACTGCAAGAAAAAGTGAATTGTGTCCTAATGTCAGGGTCACTTTTAATTCAGCAGTAAACACTCACAATTTTTGTCAAAGCATGAAGTTCCGATCGGAAGTTGAAGTTTCGGTTCCCATGCTATCTTGCTTTCAGCAAGATGGAATGGGAACCGAAACAGTTAAAAAGCGAGGACAGATGCTCTGAAAGCGGTGCCGCTTTGAGCGTTTCGCTCGATTTACTCCGCAGCGCACGCCAATGGATCACGTGATTGATCGCTCACAGAGACCAACCGCTCAACGACCGCTAGCGCGGAGCACCTTTCATCTGCGAGGGGAAGGGACTATTATTGGTTCTTGACGGAGCTCGACTGCGTGTCAAACGGAACTATGCATACAAGCTTGGCGCAAGCGCTCTTCACAACAAAAAGCGACAGCTTGCCAATATGGAACGCACCGCGCTCAAACTTAAATGGGTGTATGGGCCTTTAACTGCGGCATCCGCTGCCTGAAGCTCCTTTCGCTGTTCACCGGTTTCGGGAGCAAGTGTTCTTCATTCACAATCTCTCTTCTTTTGCCGCCTAATCGGAGCAGCGCTAGTACTAGGTTCACACACAATTTTGTAGCGGAAACCAAGGCATAGGCGCTCCGCACATCTGCCAGTTCAGACTCGCCCCATCAACCGCGCGTGCATTGGCTTCTGTAACGTGCCGTCGCCTGCCTATTGTATTAATCCTTCACAATTATTCTGCTCTCTAAGTGGCGCGCATCCCTTTCCAATTCTTTGCCCACACCCGGATATCTTCAGATTTTCCTGTCATGTAGATACTAAAGCTGACTAATAATAACATAATGAAGTCGATAATACGTTTTTAGTTTGAGGCCGGCTACTTAGAAACGCACAATAAGCATAATTTATCTATGATCATCAAGGTTTGCTGTTGGACGCATGCAGAAATTTTGATAATTTGATTGATTTGTTTCTTACCTACCTCTATTATTAAGGGAATAACCTAAAATTATTTTCTTGATTATATTTGTTCGTGCTTGTTTTATTACACTGCGTGGCAGATTTTAGAATGTGTAAGATTTCGTAGACGTTTCGCCACGGGATGTGCCTATCGTTATTTCGCTGTAAATCACAGCATAACAGGCGGCGAAGTACACAACTTTTATTACGACTGCAATGGCGTCCTAGAAGGAATTCACAAGGTTACGACAGGAAAAGAAGCAAGAAGAATGGCAGGATTAATAGGTTATTTCAACTCTGCAGAGAAAATGAGGATACAAATTGGGAACCTTAAGCAAAAAAATATGAATGCTACTTCTGGACAATAAAGGTTGCACGATGCCATGAACTTTTAATCTCGATAAAAGGAATGTGAACATGACATAAACCACGAGACTGCAGGCATAGAACGGCACAAACACTAAACCAGCTCGTTTTCGCCCTTACATTAACTTGTAGAATGCGAAGAAGCCACTAAAGAACAATCAATATCTTAGTCGATTGAATAAAATTATTATTAAGGTTGAGTATCGGGCGAGTTGGCTATTCATAGTACTTGTTCAGCAGCGCTGTATATTACAAGTGCATTAAAACCATCTGTGAAAAAGACTGAAGGGTTGGAGGCAGGTATTAAATCACATTACGCAACCTAGCACTGTTGGCGTATGTGTGCGGTTGCAAAGTGGTTTAAGTGAAGTCATTGCTATGAAGAAAGAAAATACCACAAACACTTTCTCTAGAAAGTGTTTGTAACAAGCCCTCACCAACATACAAATTTGGAAGCTCATTCGGTGACACCTTCCTTCTCATCTAACTGAAACCTACGCACGCGGAACTGCTTAAGAGGCCCGCGTTTATGCTTGAGACCTGAGACGCTGCTGAAGAATTGAGTGCGGCCACAAAAAAAGCTCTCTCTAGCAAGGAAAAAGTCAACAAGGGTTGTCAAGCCACTACGAAAGCGATGTGAATGCTCTTCGGAATTAATACAAGGGTGCGTAGCATAATATAAAAAAAAAAATACAAGCGCTACAACTGTCCTGTAGTCCTCCGACCGTATGACAAAGCCCAAGGTGACATCTTCCTTTTTGCGAAAATCTTGTTAGTAACCAAGTCCGAAAATGCCGCAATACAAGTGTCACGTTTCTAAAACTACTACAGTTCGTAAGTCTCTCAATTCGAATCAAACTCAATTAAACCAGTCACGACTGACAAAACTGAGGATGTTATAATGTATAGTTGGTGATGGTCTCAAACCGGAAGGTCTGATTACGGGGTAGATCTGAACGTGGCAGCCAAAAAAATAATAAGGATGCAAACAAGATACAATAATCTCAGTTCCTATTGTGACAAAAGATTATCTGCAAACTACTAAACAGACAGTTTTAATGAGCCATAAACCCTTTGGTTGAAATATGAGGCAAGATGTCATTCAGTTATTGTCAATCGCAATGGCCATCGGGAAGCACCTCTGATCGCTGTCAAACCACTGGGAAATTCAAACGACCTTTTTGTTGAATTTTTGCTAGAATGGCTCTGACTAAATTGAACATAAATAAACAGCGCCGTGGAGCAAAATAAAAGCAGGTTCCTTGAGTACACTCATGGGACCTGCCTTTATTTGCTCCAGGTGCCATGATACTTGGTATTTTTTTAAAGATGGTACATGTTTAATCTCCAGGTCAAACTATTTTTTTACGAATAAAGCACACTTTTTCAGCACCAATCCAACCATAGCAGCATGTGCTGTGGGCAAATGGTGTGCAGGAAGCTTATGGTGAATTCCACTCGTAGATCCGGAGCGCTTCCCAAAATCCGCGAGGGAGGCAAAATTCCGCTCCGTGAGACCCGCTCTGAATCGACGAGGGGAAGATGAACCCGCATTTTTGGATCGACCTCCCCCATACCCCTCCCCACGGCTTCCCCCGCCGCCGTTCAAAATGGCCGCTGCTCGAACTTGACAAGCCCACCAACGCCTCAGTGGCCTCAGCCGACTGATCTTTCCGACGACCAGTGGCAACTGTCACTGCTTAGTTGCAGAAATAACACGCGACACTGGCCGGGCGAAATTATACGCACCACAGCGCCCAAGTCACAAATCACGAATACGTCCGCGGTCGGCACCGTCGCATACCTTTCGGCCGCCTTGTAGCGGCGGGGCACGGACAGCGATTGCCCGCGGTGGAGTTCAGATTTCTGGTACGACTTTAATAAACACAGAGGTAACAAAACATCACTTGCGCGGTCGTTGCCTAATCACTTCTTGCTTTATTTCACGGGAAAACGCCGGCGGAATGCAGTGTAAAAAGGTAAACAATCATAGGCTGCAGAATGAACAGGCCTAACCTTGCGACTGCATCCAGCTTTTCTGTCGTTCTTCCTCTCACGATCACAGACGTCAGCGCTTACGATTTACCACGCTCCACAGTCCCGGCTTTGCATCCCTGATCTACGCGAGGTAGAAGCGTTCGAGCCGTCATAATGCCGCATAAACAACCGACCCACCCGCACAGATTCACCTCGACGGCCCGACCGGCCCGCAGACCTCTCCATCTCCAACCTCGCCGCGCGGCGCGCATGCGCACTGAGACGGAAATCACGTGGGCCGCTCTGCCAATTTCCGGAGAGATCTGTGAAATCCCGCAGAGCAAGTTCGGCGGGGTTTGGGGCGCTCCGTGGAGCGGGCGCTGCCAGAGATCTACGAGAGGAAGATGACAAGCTCGAGCCAGATCTGCGAGCGGAATATGCGCGCTCCAAATGCAGCGCTTTTGGAGCGCTCGATATCTGCGAGCGGAATTCACCATTAGTCAATAATAATTCAGGGTTATTGGATCCTGCGTCACAAAGACTGCGTGTTGCGCAAATCAAAAGAGAGATCCTCTTACACAGAGACAACAAAGTATTCTTAAGCTGGACATGCCAGTACCCGTTTCTTATAATTTAATATTTATTTGTTATATTGACTGTTTGCAAGCAGTTTACTATTCTTTGCTTTTCCATAGCCTTTCAGTAGCGTGAAGTGCGTCACGATAAAAGCTATGTTTTATGCATGCACGTTTGCTTCTATAAGTCGAAAAAATTGGCTTATTGTTTACTAGCCGTCCCAGTACTTTTTTCAATTAATTATAAACAAAGTTCTGATACGGAGAACAAAAATATCGCGTGCTATGTAGAAGATGTACGAGAGAACAGGCAAGATTTAAAGGATACCTCAAACGCCAAAGTGTGCACTGACACGATGTAGTAAATATGCCATGAGATTAATAAGGAATTTCGTACACTTCTTAATATTTTCATTCAAAGGTTTCGCCCATATCCGTTTTACCTAGATTCAGGAAGACTACCAATTCAAGAGGCAAAATATTTTTCCGGCTTGACTACACCAAGTTAGGAAAACCGATTTGAAACACATCGGTCAACGTCAGTTAATGTTCACATACGATCCGCACACCTGTTTCCAAGTGCGCGCCATTCCCATTTGTCCTTGGTGTGGGGCGCTTATGCGAGTTGCTTCTATAGACGCTCAGAGCTTCAGAAACACAGGACCTGACTTATTGCTTTCAAGCTTCATGATTCTTTCTTCAGTGTTCTCATTAATTAATACTTCGATCTCAATGTCCGCAGAACGACAATAACATGCTTATGCTCGAAAATTGTTACGCCCTGCTTTTATTTAGTTGTCAGCGAATATGGAAGCCATTCTTACACATATTACTCGGTGATCCCATGAAGAAAACAAAATACCTTACTGTGCTACTTTCGTTAAATTGAGCGAAAAAAATGATTACGGAAGGGCAGAGACGTTTGCCTAAACCAGTTGCCCTAGCCGGCCCCTCTGTAGCAACTTTTGTGAAACACGCAAGGAACTTATTGGTTGGAGTGCACGTTGAACCTACGTAATATTACGTTCCTCCCAATCAAGATACATGCTATTGAAAGAAGATCAATGGCAGCTATATTTTTGGCCATGCTCTGGCAACAACTGCCAATAATTTCCTCTCCTCGATACTCATTATACCAGTTGCTCAAGATATAGAAGCGAGCACATTATTTGGAGCACACGTTTTATAATATAGAAAGCTACACGTATATTACGCTCTCAAAGATACTAGTGCGTCTACATTGTACGGAGGAAAGGTTAGGCCCATCACTGGAATCTACAGGGCGCAGACAGGAAGTGATAATTCGTGAAAGACGCAATGACTCGACAGTGCCATTGGTGCATGAATAATGAGCACGAGAAACGTCACACTCATCGTCCTAGCACCGATTGCGCATTTTAGCCAAACCGCCTTTCGGGTATTGCATTTACCACATTCGCTTTGAACATTGCATTGATGAACCAGCCACTCGATGTTCAAAAGAGCAGATATGCAAGTATTTTAGGGCGTATACGGCTAATTATCATATCATTGTATTTTGTCGAGAAGGTACCCATCGATTTCCTCGGAAAATTTATATATATATATATATATATATATATATATATATATATATATATATATATATATATATATATATATATATATATATATATATATATATATATATATATATATATGTATATATATATATATATATATAATATAAATTCTAACACACAGGCTATGAGCATAGAAAATGGTCAGAAAAGACTTGTCCGGATTGTTTCTGATAGATACTTCGAGCGGCGCTTTTATTATAGGTATGAATATATAATGAAAATGTTGTCTCCTTCTCTATTGTCTAAAAGGAGGACTGTTCGTGATTTAATTTTTCTGCACAAGGTTGCGAATGGTGCTGTTGATTCGGCTCAACTCCTTGCAAAAGTGAACCTTCATATTCCTTTCCGAGTAACTAGACACTTTGTTTGTTTTGATGTTCGCTCGCCGTGTAACACCTCACCTCTCTTACGGATTCAGTCATTATATAATACCTTCGCTCCACCCCACCTTGATATATTTGCATCAATTTCTATGTACCGTCGTGATTTAAATGATATTATTCCAGCCCCTCAGCATTATGTTTGTCTTGGATGTTTTATTTGTTTTTAAATGTTTATAACCTATGTACTTGTTTGCTCATTTTGCTTGTTGTGTTGGCGCACCAATAAGAAGACCTATGTGGTTGTTTTGGGGCACCCAAAATAAAGATTATTATTATTATTATTATTATTATATATATATATAAATTATGAAATTATGAAATTATGAAATTATATATCTTTTTTTGCGTTCGGGCTTAAGTGATTAAACCGTGTTTCGCGATGATAGTAATCTGACCGGCTTGGAAATTGGCCACTGATTATTTATATCATTTTTGTAAAATTTATATGGAACCGTTCTTTTTTTTAAAGTTACAACCGAAGTGTAACAACCAATAGTAGGTCCAGTTTTTATGGGCGCCCTTTTTGATGAATCATTTTTCAACCGTGGAAGCACAAAAATTACAACAAATATTCTATAGAAAATTCAATTTTTTTCTTAAATGTCGTGCTTTAGATTTACTTACATCAAAATTTTATTTGAATAGGTTTAAGTAAAACATTGAAAGTGTACCAGCGCATTGTTTACGGCAAAAATATTTTACGAAGAGATAAAAAAATACCTAATATTAAAAGAAATTAAACGTTGTGATTTAGGAAAATCATATATTTAAGCTATACTTTTTTCCTTTTAAAAACAATTATGACATTTTGCCACATGCATGGTCAATTTGGGCGGAAACGCGGCTGAAAGATATATTTTTATTTATTCGTATAATCATTTAAGCACGAGGCTATTTTATTATTTGACCTTGTGAATAAAAAATCAGAATCGTGACAGATGATTCATATCAACGACTTACCCAATTGGCAATTTTCCTTCACCAGTCTCAGCGGAGGTTCGCAAGAACAAACGCCTTTTCCGTTCTTTACTTCACATCTACCAAACGGAGTTTTCTTGCAGTTTTTCTCTTCAGTGTTGTCGCAGATTCCTGAAGTAAAACGCATAACTAGAGCAAGGAACATGCTATAAAAATATGTTTCACTATTTATTGGGCATGAAAGCTTCTTGATGTTAATGTTTTGTATGATTAACTTCCATGTTATGATAATTGGCACATGCTTCACTTAAAATGCCACTGAACAGAAAAAATAAAATGTTTTGTTAGACAGTCTGGTTGGGACATGCGTCGCTCCGGCATATATTCTTGCAGATGCAAATAAATGATTTTATATAATTTGATAACAATTTTACGCAAAAAGAAAACAAAACCTTAGAGCAATATTGGCGGCGCGAGACGCGATTTAGTCGGTAGTTACCTCCCTTCCACTTGTTTTCTCTCGGCATTTCGGGCGCGGGGTGAGAGGTGGATCGGCTTGGCCAGCACGTATAGGTGGAGAGAGTGAATGACCATCTCGTTGTGTGGAAATATGGTAAGACCATTCCATGACGTCATGGACCTTGCGCGCAGACTTCGAAAGAAATACCACGCCATGAATATTGCACTCAATTTTTTAGCATAACATTTAATTCTCTACACGCGTGTCCCTACCAGATCGTTTAAAATTCTTTTCTCGTTTCAGTGGTCCTTTAAAGTGTAATTAGCTAATTGGTAAACACGTTCGGCAGAAAGTTATTTTAGTTTTTCTTTGCGTTGAGCCTGCTTGCATACGTTGCTTCACGTTTATCCGTCACGCCAAATAAACAATGATTTAATTTTTTTTCACAATACCTTGACACACTTTTCAGGCATGAAGTTTTTATTTCATGCTTTTTAAAGGGTACGTCGTGTTTTCATAGCTCTAACGTTGTTGAACGCAGCTTTTCTTTACGACTAATATCAGCTAGAAGGCAAAAAATGTCCTCGTTTTTATTTATTACCCTACCAGCCCCAAGCGGCAAACATGCTGGAGCTAGACCAGAGTACGGCACAGAGCGGCAGATGCGTTCATCTTGACGTTGCCGTGCGCTAGCTTTGCCCTCACAGAGAGACGTTTCAAGATGCCTGTACAGCGACGCGGACGCTAGCCAGGAGAAGTCGAGTGGATCCAATTCTAAAGACGATGCAGCGTAGGCCTTGTTTTGATGTGGTGTTGCCATGGCAACCCTTCTCAAGAAGATGGGCACAACTTTAAAGTTTAGTTTGTTTTGTGCTCGTTTTTTTTCTAAATGTTGCACTTATGATTCGATAAGTAAAGGTCACTGTATTTTTTTTAAATTTAACTGACAGCACCAAAAGGTACAATAAAGTTTAGAAAAAAAATTCTTAAAATATAAAGAAAACAAGAACTGATGGTGAGGAAGTTTGTTTTTATAAAGGCAAAGCGAAAGCGGCAGAGCGAGAAAGCGTCGGAGCCCGTCGCTGAAAATGCTAAGACGTTCAAATTTGTTTCGCAGAAAAAAAAGGTCTCGCGATTTGACGAAATAAAATAAGCTATCGAAATACTCCTTGGATAAAATATATCAGCCCCCTGGCTGGAAACACCAACTGCCTGACTCGGTATAAAACCGCTCATACCCCATCTGTATCACACGTTATTCAGGATTTGTTTACTTTACACGATGTGTTTACTAAAGAGCTAAAACAAGAAATAAGGTAAGGTTTAGTACTCACATAGAAGTATTGAAGTGAAAGCGAAAACCAGATTACAACTGTGGAGATTTTATCAGTCTTAAAAACGGCGCCGCTTCTATGTTTCTAATAATTCCCAGCCCTCCTTCAGCTTTAGTAGGTAGATAAAGTAAGGTAAATGATGATGTGTACCCTTCAAAACTTTTGGACTTTGTTTGAGGTTACTGGGGTGAGGCTGCTGGATATCAGAAGTTTGTTCTTCTGTACTGGATGTCGTTATTATAAATACTTCTAATCAGCTATTCGCTAAACCAGTTTTCTGTCGTTATTCGAAGTTGTGACTCAGTCCAGGCTGTACAACATGAAGTAAATTATATATTCTTGAGGGTTATATATCTTCCTATGCAATTAATTTGTAAGTAACACGTGAGAAAGTTGAAAAAAATTATTGACTTCGCAGGAAATCATTTTTACACGGCTAGGTGGTAACAATGCTTTCAGTTGCACACTGTTATTTAGATAAACTGCTAAACCGAAATGTGAGGTTTCAAACAGGCTATTTCACAATCCTTAAGACGGCGCATACCAAAAGTACTAATTGGTCATAACATCGGCGTTCTCAAGGTAGCGACGTATACTTATGAGAAATATTAGTTTCGCCAAATGCTAAACAAAACGTATTAAATAGCAAAACATTTTGTTCAATACAAAGTACTCGTGATCAACAAAATGTTGCCACCTTGTCGCAATAACACATTGTAAGACCATAGACTGACTACAATCTGAAAACGACGACGACGTCGTAAATATTCTCAATGCCCTCTGAAGGACCCCCAACGCCCTGCGGAAGTGGCTCAGCACCTTCCAGAAGGCGGCTAAAAGAATCGTTAGAGAATATGGAGCCTCTACAGACACGTAACAGGCCTACACTAAGGTTGTCTCTCATTGTGGTGGTTTCAACTATGCATAGAGAGGTTACAGATTACAAAGAATCACTGGTCTAAAGCAGGAACCTGGCTCAGAGAAAGAAAACAGACTTCAGAAATGGCAAGCCACAACATAGAATCCTTGCTCACTGGTGGGTGCAACAAATGTGCGAAGAATAAACTGAAGAAAAAATAAGAGAAATACCTGAATACGAGGGTGATCAAAATTATTCACTCTGGTCTTTACTGGCCAAGATATTGTCTTTCGTCTTTACTGGCCAAGATAAAGCCTTGTTTGATATGCAAACGAATTCTCACATCATCCACTCTCACTCGTTTATCCGAGAAATGAGTTAGCAAGCGCGCTCAATGTCACCATCAGGCGTCGACACGGTCGGGCCTGTCTCATTTATTGCTGACACATGTGCATTCTTCATAGAACTCATCTAGCCGTTCAAACGCACTTCTTTGAAACAAAAAATATCGATGACACTATGCAAATTGTTTTTGATAGATATCGGCCCAGACACCCCTTAAGACCATGAAAACAATGACTCCTCCACTTGTAAAAATTACACATGGGGCAGTCATTTTTCTTGCACCTCAGTTACAACTGACCGTACTTAACACATTCAAGCCTACACAGCAGTAATTGGAGAGACAGAAACCTTCTACCAAAAAGTGCTGCTTAGCAGTGCAGCCAACATAACGTGTAAGATAACGGAAGTGTGAATAATTGTTAATGATCCTCGTATGAAAACGAACATTTTTAGCGTCATGTGTGGTCACACTATTCAGTACATATGTAATAGTCATATATACCTTTGCATAGAAAAATATTTATCTATTTTTATCTTATTATGATCGTAAGAGTCACAATTAAATGGGTTGTCGAATCTTCAGAAAGTGTAAAGTCAGTCAGCTGTGAAATGAGATAGATGGTTTGTGGCTGCGCCGTAGAAAAAAAACATTAAATGTGCAGCACGACGGCTGACTTGGTATCTTAACGTGCAATCTTCAAACCTTACATTCTGGTCTTTTGTGTGCTAGATTACGCACTAGGGTTTTGTTAGCTAATGGGATTAACGACAGTTAATTTTAGATTAGTTAGCCCAAAAAGTTAGCTGCTTTAAGCTCTGCATTTCTCAGTTATTTTAGATTCTCAGTATTGTAACAAAGGTGCCGTATATTGGTGAAATTCCACCTTTTTTGTGGCAGTCGTATGCTTCATTCCCTTGATTCTATTATGTTATTATAATTTCTATTCCCGAGTGATGAGGGTTTTTCGTTGGATGCATCTGTTAGTTCTGTACTTCAGAGAATAAATACAAGCGGTGCCTTAGACCTAGGCACTGTACATAGTTTCTTTTCTAATATATTTACCTGCTCTGTCTCACATCAAGCATAATGTATTTGGGACCTACCTTCCTGTCCAAAATATATCACATTCAGAAATCAGTCTTCATAAACATTTCATGATTTCGTTAGTACCTAAATTATTTACATAAAAATTTAATAACAAATGTCCGAATAAACACGACAGGACTCCGGGGCTTGGGCCAAACTTTTTGCGAATAATAATTTAACCTTATATATGTATATATATATATATATATATATATATATATATATATATATATATATATATATATATATATATATATATATATATATATATATATATGGGTGGTTTCATCTCAAATCGTGCAGGCAAAAAAGGTCGAATTTTTAATTTCAATGAAAAAAATATATGTTATGGCGCCGTTTCTAAAACCGCAGTCGACGCAAACCGCAAGTTCGTCGGATTTTTAGTTCTCGACTTATGAATTTTTAAAGAGGCCGCGGCGAAAAGCAGTGTTTTTCACACCCGTCGTGGGTCGGATGTTTCGCTTGATCTCCCGCCATGGATTTTCAGTCCACATTATATTATCTTTTTTGAAGCACTCTGTGGACACATTTAAAAGGCTCCAATACCATGAAATAATTTTAGGCCTTTTGCTTTTTTTCTGTAAAAATGTCAAAAACGCCTCCTCGGTCAATTGTTGACGAACTTTGACAATTAATTACTGGCAATCTACTTGGGTTACACCGATATTTTTTATGTCCACGGAGAGCCCAAAACACGCTCTTTATATTTATTATAAAATGTCTTGGGTGTATAAAATATCCTTTGAGGTATGTTTACGTTAATATTATGCAAAAACCAAAAAGTACCATTTTTGAAATTGATTTTCTCAAAAAGCCCATTTTTTATTTTTTTAATTTTTTGTTCAAATGTAGATATGATAGTTGTCTACACGAAATTCAAGCCTAGAAAGTGTATATTTTGTTTGTATGTTCTACATTTAAGCATCAATATCGTACAAAAACGTGTTTTTACGGCTCGAAATGGACTTGCGAATTGCGCGTCTTCGCAAGCTTGGAAAGAGTTTTTTCTTTTTTTCAACGTTCCCACATAAAAATGAAATACAGTATTTCCACCCTGATATATTT